GCATGCATTAAATGGAGACGTTTCTGGGGAAGGCAGTGGCTCGACGCCTAGATAGCACAGCACTCTTGGGGGCTGTGAGGTGGAGGAGGAATCCGAACTTGCGAGCCAGGAAGTTTGAGACAGCCGACGACATCAATAGCGCGAGCCCTTGTCACTCTAACAAAAAAAGTAAGAAAAATAATAGTGCGAGGGACTACAGGGCGTCAATGGTCTGCACCCCTAGTCAGATAACTTAGGAGACTGATAGTGTGAAGAGGATCGCATTGAGATAAGGGAGTTCAAGCTGCAGGGAGCGTGTGAATGGTGCACTACCACGTCCAGACCTGGGACGAGAGGGAGACCTCGATATCAGAATAATACAATAAAAAAGCTGGAAATGATTTTAGGACATATATCTGAGCGAGAAATACGGTAGGCAACTCCTGTGAAAAAGGGCCGTTGAAGGCAAAAGGGCGGGAGTTATGTGATCCCTCCAGAAAGTAGAAAGATTCGGCATTCCTCTCTACACTCAGCCTGCCGAGCATAGTAGCCTGTCATTCTAGGGCCCCCTCTCCTTGGGACGCTCTCCTGCATGACTTCAATTATACAGATTTACTTAGAGTAGAGTTTTTGCAAACTGGACGGCCCGGCTGAGCTTGATTTTAGCTGCAGAATGGATATGCGGGCTTGGGAATGATCTTTGCCAACACAAATTTGGGAGATTGGGATATAATGAAATACAGACTAATGATATCGCTCCTCGTTTGTTAAATAAACGAAAGATCATGGCAACCACTTGGGCTCATGGCCATTCAGCAGCAGCTGGTCTAGAGCTGAAGAAGCCAGTCACCCCTATTAATGAGAGTCACGATCTCCAGTTAGGTGTGCAATCCCATGTCTTGGGGACATAACGAGACAGTGGTTCACGATGGTACTGCTTAAGAAGGATGGATTTCCTTCTTTGCCGTAAAATGGTCAATCCTATGGGTCGTGCCACCAGAATCCAAGTTTTTTCCCGACTTAATCTGACCCTCGACCATATCTGGCGAGGCTGGGCACTACCTAAAAACAGTTGAGGGCTGTATCGCTAAATACTGAGAGGTGTATTGGAGCAAGTGGGGCACTTAGCAGAACTAATTGAAATTATTTGAATATACAGATTCAGGGATAAAGAAACTACTGAATTATATATCAGTTAACATTAAGCTTTTTCAAATGCTTTTCACCTATAGCAATATGAGCTTAGCATTAAGAGGATGGGGTGTTGTATCGGATCTGGGATTCTACTCCAGAAAATGAGGATGGGAAGGCTACATGCCTGCTTCAGAGGGTTGTCGTCAGGCATTAAATGAGATGAGGCATGTGAGGTAGCCGCATGGTTGCCTGGCCGGTCGATTAGTATTCGGTTAAATGCTTAACAAAGTAAGGGGAAAACCACGATTGAGAGTGACAATAGGAGTGATGGTGGTTAGGTGTTGTGATCAGTGATGGGATGAATCGTCCGAGTGATTAGTCAAATGAGCATCACATAATTTTCTAAATGATCACCTGCTTCCTTCCCACCATACCATCCTGCTTCAAGGAACATTATGATGGAGGCCCATAAGCCTTGTAACAAAAGAAACCTCTTATGCCTTTGCTCAGTGGGAAAAGTCTGGAATGGAAGAGTAAAACAGAGTGTGAACTCGTTCTCAATTGAGGCTCAGCAGAAATTAAGGTGGAATTGTTGGCAGTCCTTAGTGTCATTCGAGTGTGAACTTGCACGAGCCACTTAAATCCAGCCTGTGTCCAGTTGCACGTTTTAATACATGAAGGAATTACATGACAAGCCGCGGTATGGAAGCCCATATGAAATATCTCATTTCATTCCCCACATCAGTCCTATTTGGGCCATTATCTATTCTGTCCCTGCAATTTAACAGGTTAGGCAAAAAAAAAAAAAAAAACGGTGGACGGGGTCAAAGTGTGTTGGGCCGCAAGATGCCAAAGCCAGCGTTGACTTCACGGCCACTCTGGGCCTCAGGAAGGAGATACGTATGGAAATGATGGTTGAGAGCTGCAGAAGGAGAAACGGGCAACCCCAGCCAGGGATGGGCAGGCGTAGAGGGCATGAGGCTGGGACTGCGGGGTATGCAGGCACAAACCGCCGCAGTGTGTGGTTGGGACGGGTGTCGTGTGTGAGAATCATTTGCGCTGCCCAGGTTATGGTTGCCTGCGTCGTGACACGCGAATGATCCAAGGAGCCGACACCTCGGTGCAACTGCAGAGGAATCATTCTACAGGGTCCAGGCGCCCCCAGTGACACGCACGCGAACTACCTTATTCGGTGCCTTTCGTTGAGTTTTCTGGTTGTCACCAGGATGGAGGCGGCGAACGACGGACGGCTTCGGCGGGGAGGCTCGCTCGTTGGGAGATTGTCCTTGCCTTCCACCAAGGAGAGCTGAGCGCCGGCCGATGCCGTGGGGCGTCGCCGGCGCATGCTGGACACGCACCGTGAGCGGCTCCCAGGCGGCTGGGCCCCCAGCCGCCGGGCGAGCGCCGGCCCCGTGCGGGGTAGAACGGAGCTGCTGGGCGCACGCCACGGTGGGCTTGCGTCGGCAGTGAACCCAGGCACCGAGGGCGCGCAACGCCCGAACCACGTCTCTGCAAAGATCAATTCTGGTGATGGCAGACGACAGCCGCGGTCATGGCGGGATCAGTGGTTGGCAGAGCGGAACAGGGGAAGCGCTGTTGCGTCTTTCCTACTGAAGCGACGACTCGCCGGGACAGGCCGCCTGTCGACTCTGCCTCTAGGAAGACTTCCCTGTCCACCCCTTTCCAGCTGGAGGTAGATACCACTCTGCATTCTCAGCATCTTATATTTCCCCATCATAACACTCGTTACAATTGTCTGTCGGGATGGTTTTGTTCACTGTTGGATCCACAGCACCTAACGTAGTGCGTGGTGCATAGGAGACACTTATATGATACGCAAATATTTGCTGAGTGAACACATAAAAGAGGCATTTCGAGTGTAGACAGGTATAGGAAAACACCACGAACCAAGTCCCAGGAGAAAATAACACACATCTCCCACCTTACCCATGTCCCTTTGCTCTCCTTTCTCTTGCAGCAAGTCAAAACCGTGAGATTTCAGAATTACAGCCCTCCTCCTACCAAACACTACACCTCCCATCCCACCTCCGGGAAGCCTGAACAGCCAGTGACCCTCAAGGGGCCCCAGCATGAAGCATCCTCCCTGGGCTCAGAGATGACCATCCTATTCGCCCATCGAAGCGGCTGCCACTCCGGACAGCAGACAGACCCCCGGAGAAAGTCAGCTCTTGGCAAGGCCACCGTCCTGGTTCCCGCTGCCGCAGCCACGCAGACCGTGTTTCCCAGCAAATGAATCTACAGGTGGCTTTTCCTAGACCCCAAAGAGGTGAATTGCATTTCAATACAGTCTGCCTCCACTAAAGGCATGCTGCCATTCTTTGGGGACTTGAGTAGGGGGTCCTTGTTCTTCCCATTTTACCTCCAGGAAAAAAAAGGTGGAAGTGGGAATTCCTGCCCTGGGTGGGAGGATAGATTGGGCATCCTTCCAGACATAATGATTTGATGCAGCAAAGCCCACTACTCAGACCAAGGAGCGGGAGACTGCTGTGCCCACTTTGTTCCCCAGCATGGAGCGTGTGGCCTCTCATCCCCTGTGCTCTGTGTAGAATTTCTACAGTGTCCTAACAGGGGCTCCAGCAAGGCGATGTGAAGGGTGGGATTGTTGGCATTGCTTCTTTGACCTTATCATAACCTCAGCAAGCATTGTGACAGCTTCTGCCATCTGCCGGGGCCTGTGCACTGGCCACTAGTAGCTACTGTATTTTTTTTTTTCCTTCTGTAAAGTCATAATCCTGGCTGCAAAGGTAGAATTTCTGGGAGGGGTGTGATGGAGACTTTGAACATTCTGAGAACCCACCAAAACTAGAAGGAGTAAGCTCCCCATGTTTGCCCCAAACAAGGTCAGAGAGACAGCTGACTACCAAGTATCAAAAGATTATCATACTTTAAGCTTCTTGATCTGCTTTCTCACATATAATCCTACACGACAGATAAGCAGAAAGCATGGGGCTGTGGATAGGGCCATGTATGGTATCACTGGCAATTGATCCACCCTGGCTCTATAGGCTGACTTTCCCAAGAAAACACAACATGCTTAGAAACAGCCTCCTATGGGGCTGGAGCCTGGATGTCAATTCTGTTTGCATTGCACCAGTCTTGACTTGCCTTGGTTTCCCCTCCTGTGGGGCAGCTCAGCTGTTTCCCCCACGAGACGACGACGTCAGCAGGAATATGCCCGTCCAAGGGGTGGGTGCAGCCTAGACGAAAGCTGCCATGACAAGGACTGGACAATGAAGGTTGGAGAGGAAAGGGGGAAGCAGAAGAGAAAAAAGAGAGAGAATGAAGAAAATACGGAGGAGAGAAGGGGGTGTGCGAGTAAGGGAGAAAGATACAGGATGGAGAGAATCAGGGAAGGAGATAAAAGGGGGCAACCTTGCCGTTCCTGATAGGTGGTGAAAGACGGACAGAGTCTGCAATGGAGAAGGGGGCGAAACTAGGTGACCCCCACTAAGATGGGGCTGACATGCTGGGTACCGGCCAGGCAGCGCCTGGTAAGCGGGTGAGGCGGCGTCCCAGGGAGGCAAGGCAATGCTGTACGACAGCCCGTTAATTCCCATTAAACTTCATTGTTGTGATTGAACATTGAATGCATGCCCATTAATGTGGGCACTTAAACACATAAATACTATTTGGTACTAAGCTAGGTGCCATTTAAAAAGAAAGAAGAAAGAAAGAAAAGGAAAGGAAAGGCAGGTCTAATTAGACCTTTCCCCTCGACAGTTTTTTTTTTTTTTTTTTGAGACAGAGTCTCACTCTGTTGCCCCGGCTAGAGTGCTGTGGCGTCAGCCTAGCTCACAGCAACCTCACACTCCTGGGCTCAAGCGATCCTCCTGCCTCAGCCTCCTGAGTGGCTGGGACTACAGACATGCACCACCATGCCTGGCTAATTTTTTCTATGTATTTTTTTAGTTGGCCAATTCATTTCTTTCTATTTATAATAGAGATGGGGTCTCGCTCTTGCTCAGGCTGGTTTCAAACTCCTGACTTTGAGCGATCTGGCTGCCTTGGCCTCCCAGAGTGGTAAGATTACAGGAGTGAGCCAACACGCCCGGCCTCCCCTCAACAGTTCTTGAAGATCCTGGGATTCAAGCGTGTATCTTTTCCATACCCGCCCACACACTTGGCCAGTGGAATTGTCCACAGGCTTTTCCAGACCTTAATAAAACAGAACAAAACCATAATCCCGCCACAGAATACTGCCCATACGTCGGTAGAGCCAACATGTCGGGACCAGTAGCACGTTGTCGCAGCGTTTCTGCAAGCCGTTGACCCACGTGTACTCCACAAAATCAGCATCCCCAACTCCATGCCCCATTGGACTGAACATAAGAATCCAGGTGGAGAATGGACATAAAGTCACAAGGACAGGGAGGCAGGCTATGATGTGTCCAAATATGAGTACCTACGTCTCATCTGTGCCCCAGAAGTACTCCCAGTTAGTTTAACAATGGGCTGGCTGTCTACGCTACACCCAGAGTGGCAGAGACATGGCATGACCAGCCAACCAAATATTTAGTCTGTGCCTCAGTAGCAATGGATCCAGTTCATTTTTAACTTGTTTGGCTGACAAGCAGGTTGGTTGGGTGTGATGGAGACACGACCATGCCTTCCAAAGGAAATGGAATTTTCTTCCTGCAATCCACAGTCTCTGTGGGCTGACCTCTCTGAGGAATGTAAACACTCTGGGGCTTGCCACCCCTACTGCATCCAGCCTTTTCTCCTACGCTTGCTCAGCTTCAAGCTCACTCCCTCCCAAACCAAATCCCATCTTTGTGGAGTTTTGTGAGGGTTTGAAAGGGGAAAAGGGATGTTGCTTCCGAGTAAAAACAAGTTGACTTTGCTGGCAGCCTCAATTCATATATTCCAGCAACAAGTTTCTAACATTTGCTGTGTGCCAGGCATGGCAATGAGGATGATAGACACATCATGTCATGTAACCCTAACCATGATCCTACAAGATATAATTATCCCCATTTCAGAGCCAAGGAAACTGAGGCTTGAAGGTTAACCACAGGCAGTGGCAGAGCAAGGATGTAGACTCAAGCCATGTGACTTCAGAGCCCATCTTGGGACTTGCTGTCCAAACCAAAAGCCCTTCCTTGACCTCAGGACACTGACTCCAGACTGCTAGGAGGCAGCATAGTGTCATTTAGCTGCAAATGCATAACGCGATTTTGGTTACAAATGCAAAAATGCCCAGCAGGCTCTGCTGCACACAAACTAGGTTCAAATCCTCATTTACCATTTTCTGGCCACGTTATGTTGAGCAAGTTTCTTAACCTCCCAGCAAGAGCCACTCTGTCTTAAATAGGAAAAATATAACGTAGTGCCAACATCATTGGACTACTGTGAAATTAACTGAGAGAATGATACAGAGTGTCCTACACAATGCTGGCACATAGCGAACACCTCACAAACGTTAGAATTGGATGTTTCTAAGAAAATAGGCCATTGAAATTTCAAGGGAGAAACTCTAACACAAGGGCATGCCCAGGACTATGGTGACACGATGTGGTGCCGAAAAGAGACAGTCTAGTCTCAGAGGTCAGAACACAGTGTAAGCTGAGTCCTGAAGGACAAGTAAGAGTCAGGTAGACAAAGTGGTGGGAGAACAGGTGTCCCAAGCAGAGGGAGAGCTTTGGCCATTGGGTTTAAATGGTGCAATTGGTCCAGTTTCTCTTGCACGTAGAGGAATCTGTTCCTTCATGGAACATTCCAGAGATCCCAGGTTGTTGAAATAGTTTTGTTACTCATAGGTGAGTGGTGGATGCTCTGAGGTCCCGGGGCCCTTCCCAACACCCAACCTCCCTCAGGCCAGGTGCAGCTGAGACTCCCAGCAATAAAGCCCTTCTTCATTCTGATTGGCTGGTGCCTATGCCATACTCGTGGCAAAATATCTTGACTGTTACCCTATAGTACAGAGTAGGGCCCAGAGAGGTCACTCAGAGGCCAAGAGCCCTCTTCCCAGCCCCATCCTGGCCACTGGCCAGCCCTTGACAACCACCTTCGCCCAGCTCTTGGCCTAGGAAAGGAGCTGACTGGGAGGGAGGGCAGTGCCATGCCCGCTGGTCTGCCTTTCTCAGCTAACACTGTCACAGGCATGAGTAATGCTGGCGAGCGTCCTAGCTCCTCTGGCGCCAGTGGGGCAGGTTCAGAAGTCATCTGTTTCAATCAGAAGAGTAGGCATCCATCCTCATCCTCTCTCCCGCCTATGACCACCCAGGCAGCCACACATCCTCTGGACTCCCTTCCCGGGAAGTGAACAGCTGTGGCAGCAAAAACCGCAAAGTCCTATCCAGTCTCTCCAGCTGGGCCCACGTGCTCAGCAAGCTGGCGTGGGGCAGTGCCAGGTCCAGCAGCTGCCACTGATGCTTCTCTTATTTTTACGTCTCGAGAGGAAATGCCCTGGTTCTTCCTTCAGCTAAGCAAGAGAGTGCTTGCACTCTCTTCCGGCAACTTCTCAGGTGACCGTGAAAGGCAGTCACTTAGGGACTGTGTTTAGCAGGCAGGACCAAACCGGAGGAGTTAACTCCAGAGATGCTTGCAGCCGACTGGTGTCATTGGGAATAAATCACGCAAGGACATTTTGCTTGTAATAGAGGAACGTTAAATGATCGAGCCGTCTTGATCATTGCTTGCCAAGCCATAGTATTATGTCCTAGATCAGAGCAGAAACAGAATGTTCCCAGGAGGCCCTCCACCCACAGACCTCCTCTTTCACAGATAGCATGCAGCAGCGGGGGGTGGGGTGGGGGAGCCAAGGTGTGTTGTCAGGTCACGCTGGTGGCGGTGGGGGCCATGGAGGAGCGTTACAGACTCACCGTCCATTCGTCCATGTCCTAACTCAGTCACAGGTATCCACTACCCACTCCAGACCAGGCTCTGGGAGAGGTCATGGAGATAAAAAACATTAACAGGATAAATGTAGATACAGCCCTCATAGAGTGTTTGTTTCTTTTTCTTTTCTTTTTTTTTTTTTGAGACAGAGTCTCGCTTTGCTGCCCAGGCTAGAGTGAGTGCCGTGGCATCAGCCTAGCTCACAGCAACCTCAAACTCCTGGGCTCAAGCAATCCTGGCTGCTCGCCTCCCAAGTAGCTGGGACTACAGGCATGCGCCACCATGCCTGGCTAATTTTATATATATATATATTAGTTAGCCAATTAATTTCTTTCTATTTATAGTAGAGACGGGTCTCGCTCTTGCTCAGCTGGTTTCGAACTCCTGACCTCGAGCAGTCCTCCGCCTCGGCCTCCAGAGTGCTAGGAT